TAAGTAAAATAAAATTAAAACAAAAATACTGGTAAGTGCTTTAGTGAGTGACTGGAGAAATAATGTTGCTGAAGCCAGTGGTCAAGTCTCAGTTCCCATCGAACTTGAGCTAGCAGCAGCTTTTGACACAGGTCCTTCCCTCTCCCTGATAAATTTCCTTTACTTGCTTCCTATCACACTGGTAGCTCTTTTTGGGTCTTTCTTCTGCCCGCATACACATCCTCCAGGTGTGGCAGTTACATTATGAATAAGATTTAGCCAAGCAAAGAGGAGGTAAAGACTGGTCTAGTCAGAGGTAAGGGTGTGTTTGAGTCCCAATGTTCAGAGCCATCAAGATGTGTTAGAGGATCAGAAGTATTGGTATGACTTGAATATCTAGGGAGAGCAGAGTGGGTAGACAGGCAGCTGAAGAGGTTCTCCAGGATCAGTTAGAAGTCATGTTGTAAGAAATTTTAACCTTATCTTAAAGACAATAAAATGTCATTTTAGGGAATTGCAAAACCAAAAAAATCATAATCAGGTATGCATTTTTGAAAGGGTCCTTTGGCTTCACTGTGGAAAAGGGATTTAAATGGATTAGAAATTGAAGCTAGGAGACTGACTAATAGACTGTTCAGTATTCCAGGAAAGTGATGGTCATATAATAAAAGGAAACACTTATATAGTGGTTGGTATGTATCAAATTCTAAGTACTTTCATATAATGACTCATTTCATATAATGACTCACAACAACCATGAAAGGTACCATCATTATCTCCATTGTACAGATCAGGAAATTAAGGCCTAGACATGTTGAATAACTTTCTCAGGGTCACACAGCTAGTAAGGTATACAGCCCAGATGGGAACCCAAGCTGTCAGGCTCCAAGTCTGTGCTCTTAGGCATAATGCTGTATTGAGTAGTAGCAGTGGGGATGCATAGAAAGAAACAACAAAGCTAAAATCTTCCAAGATAGAAACAACAAAGATAAAGCAACTTCTTAGTGATTTGTTGGCTTCAAAGACTAGGGAGAGAGAAGGGTCATGAATGATTAGATTTCCTGCTTGGAAAATTTGGTTGATGATATTTATACAAAGAAGAGCAAGATTTTGCTGGGGAGTGGAAGTAGGTGGCAGGGATGAGCAAAGACATGAGTTAGTTTGACATGTTGAAATACACTTTCCTCTGGGCTTCCAGGTAGAGCTGTCCAACTGGATATGTGGGTCTGGAATTCAGAAAATAGGACTGGGCCAGAATACAGATTTGGTGGAGATACACTTTCATCATCCCCTTTCTCAAAAATAGACTTTCAGACTCAGGTTCAAACTTATTAGAAAGGCATTTAAAGCTACTTCCTTTGCTGAAACTCTCTTTCCCTATCTCAATGAGCCAATAATCACATCATACTTAAGTCCTGAAACAATGCTAGATATTCAATCCTTTCTTGATCCCAACAGGAAATAATTCCTCTCTTTGTTTCATTATGGCTCTGAATTCATACTTTTCTTATGTATTCATCATTTTCAACTTTGCAGCTTTCTCCTCTATTGAAAAACTTACTACATTCTATCTTGTATGACAGTTGTTACTGTACATATTTTATCTCGACTACAAGCTGAGAGCAGTGATCATACCTCCTTTATATTTCTTCACAGCAGGTGCCTGGTAAAGTACCTCAAGGTACCTGTGCATAGATTCAGTAACCACTTCTTGAGTTGAAATAGATTCATTTCATTTTCATACTTTTCCTTGATTTAAGGTTAGAATTTATATTATTTGGCTTGAACATAATACTCAAAAGATGTTACCCTATAAACATTTTTTGGGGTCATACAAGTTCAAAAAATCCTCACCAAGCATAAAGATAATCCAGAAATAAAAGCTTTAAATAAAGGGAAATGTGGGCATGAAAATACAATATTCTTACCTGGAAAAAAGATACTGGGCTTTATTCTCAGAGAAAGACAAATTTTCAGGCACATTAGGAATGATGATATGGACAAGGAAAGTGGTACCCTTGTACATTATCTGGCGATTAAATGTCTACACCTCTGAGGTAAATGGATGAGCAAAACAGTTTACACTTTGTATGAATGCAGTTTATAAGGCATGTATTTGTAGATTACACAGGCTAAAAAGTAGTGAAACAGTGCAAAGTTATTTATTCACATTTTAAAATATGAACATTATACTTCAGCATAATTGTAAACCCACTGCTGTGGCTTTGTCCACGTTGAAATGCTTCTTTTCTTTGTCCCCAGCACAGAAAAATGGAACCTGCTCAGATATAATCACACTCTTAAAATTGCATCCTTCTAAATACTAATATAACAATTCTACAAATCACTGAAATTGCAGTAAATAGATAATTGTTAAAAAGAAGCACTTTAGTTCTCTCTTGTTTTATACAACATAGGTGGGTTCTTTTAAAAGTATTCTTCAGAGCACACTGTCTTCTGAAAGAGTAGTAGATTTTTATGATAATCATTATAAATTATACTGGAAGATAATAATAGAATCATCTTTCTAGAATTGTGGTTCTTTTTTTTAAAAAAAATAAGATTTCCCATTCTTTCTGTATTTACGGAATTTCCTCAAAAAGCCTTTTCTGTGTAGGCATTTCATAGAATCCTTTACTTCCCTATATTCATCTTTATCATGTGTTATTTTAATGGCTAGTTTCATTTTCCTTGTTACTTTTGGACACTAATGAATGCACTAATTACGTTTTGTCATTTTTTTCCTGACCGTTACATCTTTACTGTATATCATACCATATGTCTGGTGGAAAAGGGAAGTACTTCTTTTTTCTCAGTTAAATAAGCAGAGTTATCGACAGAGAAAGAAGAGAAAGAAAGTGGTATCTAAGATTTGAGGAGACGGAAGAAGGTATGCAGGGGAAAGTAACTAAGGAAATAAAGTAGGAATACTGGGTGATGTCGATGGTCCTCAGAGCAGGTAGCTTACAAGATGGCCCCCAACGATCCTCACCATTTAATATTCACACGCTCGTGTAATCCTCTCCCCTTGGACTTACTGACTGGCTTCTAACAAATAGACTATGGGAGAAGTGATGAAATGTCACATCTGAGATTCAGTTATGGAAAGACTGTGGCTGCCATCTTGAGCACCTCCTTATTCTAGGGGAAGCCAGACCCCAGCCCTGTGGAGTAGCTTATGTGTTAAGGAAACAAGGCCTGCCAATAGACACATGAGTGACCTTCATTCTCTCCACTCCCATCCCAGACAAGTCTTCAAGATGAGACCACATCCCTGGGCGACAACTTGATGGTAGTAACCTCTTTAGAAACCTTGAACCAGAGGCATTCAGTTAAGCTGTGCATAGATTCCTTACCCACAGAAGTTGTGAGATAACTTTTGTTGTTTTCAGTTTCTGAGTTTTGGGGGTAACTTTTAACACATCAGTAGATAACTAATACAGCTCTCTTGAGACATGTGGCCATAAATTTAAAAGATAGTGAAAGCAGTTGCAAATATAAAGTAAGACAGTCAGCAGAGGTATGTATTTTTTCTAGTTACATTCTGATGCACAGAAAAGGATACCAAGCAAAATTAAACACAGGTTACCCCTAGAGCAGAAGAGGAAGGGATGGGGAAAAGGGGGAGATGAAATAAAGATGCATTTTCAGCTTTGCTCTATATATTTCTGTATGCTTTGAAATATTTATAATCAGCTTGTATTCATTCTTTATGTATGTAACTCAAAATAAAATAAAAGACAATCTTAAAAAGGTAGCACTGATGACTTCTTCCTCATAATATACTATAGAAAACAGGCAAAATATTTTATCAGGGAAGGGCAAAATCACATGGTTTGATCGGCTTCTTGAATGGCATTCTCTACAGGGCATTCTCTACAGGAAGTACGCATTCTGGAACCTTCACAAGTGCCAGGTAGAGTCTTCAGACCACAGCTAAGTGTTTATTTGCAAATGCCAGGTTTTAGCCCCTGGTAAGGCAGTAGCGTTCCCGTTCCGCATAAAAATCCAGATGAACGTTCCGCTCAAGGTCCAGAGCTCTGCAGCTGCTGGCAAAGCACGCTGGGAGCCTTGGCATCTATCGCCCATGTCTGTTTCACTTTTCTCTGTGTGAAAACCTCTTGAGGCCCAAGGGTAAAAGACATCTCATCATTTAAGCGTCAAGCACTGCTAAGTTAGATTCTCCAAGGCTTTCATCGACTGTGTCATTTTAGCCGCATCATTCTCTTAGGCTGTTACTCTATGAAGGTGTAAACACCAATGGAGAAAATAATGACTTCTTGAGGTTTGTTTCGTTTTCCAATCCTGTGCCAAATCCTTTTAGTATGGGTGGTTTCCCTGACAATTATTCACTGTGCTTTACTTACTCTGCCTGCCTCCTAAATATTGTGCCCCTTAATAGAGGATATAAGGGAACAGAGTTGTCAATTCACTGAAAATAAGTCAAAATTAATGGTAAATAGTTGAATATAATCTTTTCAAATTTCCATTCTTATTAGATTGACATCTTCTGTGAAGCAGGGACCATATCTTCTGTATCCAACATTCACTAAATATCTCTGACTTTGCCAGGTAAGTGATACGTTAGGAACAGCCCAGAGTAGCATGCATTATATTTCCCTTGGCCATATCATCATTGTATTTCCTCTACCCTCATTTTCCCTCTATCCTGCTTTCCTCATCTATTTTTTTTTTTCTAGCTCTTTTTTGGGTCAGATTTTTACCTGCTGCCATTTAAAAAATTTATCTGACATTATGGGTTTACTCATTCTAAAACACGCTTCAACAGTTAAAAGTGTCCACAGAAAATTGGTTTACTATTGCAAGTTTTAATTATCTGAAAATCAGATATCATAATTCGCAAGCAAAAGTTAGATTTTAACATGTTTCTAATCACTGTTGTATAAACACACAGCAAAAATCACCAATACCTTAAATATTAGATCAATCTACTATTTACATCTTACTGCATTTTCCTCAATTTTAAGACTTTAAACTCTAGGTCTTCTCCTTGTACTGACCTTCACACGATTCTCCACTTGGTGAAAACATCCCATTGTCATGGTAGCCATCTCTGCACTCACAGTGGTACCATCCAGGCAGGTTGATGCAGTTAGCACGGCTGTCACACTGAACAAAGCCATCAGAGCACTCATCAATGTCTATTTGGGAAAGAAAACAGAAACGGGATGTTATACAATTGCTGCCTTTCTCTCAAAGAAACTAAAATATTCTGTTAGATGGCTACTAAAATATTTAGTGCCAGCAAATCCTTAAAACTGAGACAACATAAAATCAAGAAAGTCTACTTGGTTGTTGAAAGCTATAGAGAAAGAATGTAGTGGTATTAGCAATAGGAGAAACATCTAGACAGCTTCTCTGTTGCAAAAGTCATCCAACTGTAGAAACTGGAAAGAAACCATCTGTGATAGTCATTAGTGCTGCTCGCCAAATATTTCCAGCTCTTTTTCTGGACACAAGCTAGGATTGCCGTGTGACTTCCTGAGGTCAATTAGGGAATGACATGCGTCACTTCCAGAGAGAGCCTTAAAGATGCAGTGTGTGATTCACACATACCCTTCCCCCATCACAATGACCAGCGATTTCCAGAAGCTCTGAAGATCAGCCTGAGTCCTGAGTGAAGACGATATGGGGCACGTTCCTCCTCTAGTTGGGGTGGACATAGAGTATGAGCAAGAACCAACCTTTTTGCTTTAAGCCACTGAAATTTTAGGGTCTCTTATTACTATCAACATAATCTCCAGTATATGGCAATAGCATTCATGCATCAACATGCTTCCGATTTTTGAGAATATATCCCATCTATGCCACCTTTTAATGTGTTTCACATATATCATTACTTCATTCAACCCTCAAAAAAAATCTTGCCATTTAGACAGCATATTGAACATATGAAAAAAAATGAGGCAAAAGGAAATTATGGGATTTAACCAAGGTCACCTAAGAGTTCATATTTGCCTAACTTTCTGGTGTGTGCTCCTTCATACAAGTAGACACAGGCTGAAATTGGCAAAATTGTCTAAACAAACAGAGAATGTATCTTGAGTTTCATATATTTCCTCCAGTGGCTTATTACTATTCTCAAATGTTGTGAGCCTTTTATTCTTCTTATTCAGTCTGCTGATTAATGGGAACATCTGATGTCCATCCAAGCCTCTTTAATCAGTCATAGAGGAAAAAGTAATTCCTAGAGTTGCTTTACAGAGTGTCACCTTCTTCTTAATACCTTCTGGGTTTCTGGGTGCTTTGGGGTTGCCTCAGACCTTGCTAAGTGATCTGCTGGCACCGTACCATCACAGCTGCCAAAAATATCCATCTTGACAACCCTTTGCCATGACTGCAGATTCCACTCGCCAAGGTAGAATAGGCTTTTCTTATATTTTTTCCGCACCTGCATCATATTCCCTGCTGCAGTGAGCAGCATGACAAGTCCCTCCTATTGATGGGAAGACCAGATACTTTTTAGAGTCCTTTCCTCCCAGACAATCCACTCCAGCAGTGTCTACTGCCTTCTAGTCTCATCTAACTTCAAATTCTTGGAAGTATATATTTCTTTCATTTTCTTTTAAAATTTCCTCTTTTACTATGTTCAATTTTTAAAGAGACACATTTTTGAATAAGTAAGATTTTTAAAAGAAAAAAAGTCATCACTCATATACTTCTTGATAAGCCCGGAGTTCCTTCAGTAAAACAAGGCACAAACCATTCTCTTAGATTAGGTAGTAAGCCAAAATAAATATTTTATATGATTGCAAAATTTTAACATTCTTTCTGAACTATGAGTGATTTGCCTCTGTGGTTTCTCTTCTGAAGAGTCAGTTTCTTACCGTTAGTAATTCCTATTGTCAAAATAATTGTTAGTGGCCAAGTCAGCTAATCATTGACTTCCTGACACATAGCTGATGTGGATTGCTTCCATTTAGTAAGGCCTCATACGTTTTATGAAACAGCCTATCTGTACTTCAGGGGCCTCCCTAACTGATGATTTATAAATGGGACTAAAATGCTATGCTCATTTCAGCTTTATATGGTCTTTTCTTCTAACCCAAAAGATGCAGGAAATTGGTTATGTCATTTCTTAAGTGCATGGACAAAAGAAAACAGGTTGGAATTTAAGCTTTAGAAATGAGTTTATTGGAAGAAGGTCAGGAGGGGGATGTTTAGAGCACCTCATTTTAGAATAATTTGGTCATTAGCGTTGGTGATTTGGAAGTAAATATTAATAGAACAGAGCCTTATCCACTGAAGCAACTTTCACATCTCTTATTTACCCTTTAATTTAGTTATTTTTTCTTGCTGCAACACAAGGGCTACCTCAGGTCACATGACACAGATATATCTTTCAATATTTACTCCTCACTCATTTTCTCTTGTCACTCTTTCTAATCACCAGGCCCACTCCTATACTGCTTCATCTCCACTTCTCTTTGTTTATATTACAGCAACCTTCCTTGATCTATATCCATTAAAGTTTAATAGAAATGTTACACAGTATATTAGTGCATATTCCCTGAAGACTGGGGATTGAAACATGTGCTGGCCATAATGTATTTTCCTATACAATCTGAGTATCATTATTTGACTATTAATACTAAGTAGTATTTTAGAGGATAGATATGCAAATATATATGTCACTCAATAACTTATCATTCAATACTTATTGAATACCTGTTATATGCCAAGTATTAAGTGCTGGGGAAACAAGGATACATAAAGCAGAAGTAATTTCTGCCCTTACTGGGTTTGCTATCTATCTAAAGTGTGTTTTATTTTAAGAAAATTAAACTTATGAAAATCTGAATTTACAATCATGCAGGACAGTGTTTCCCAGCATGTTATATATCTGCCGCCACTGGTATGGTATTTAGGTGATAACAGGCAAAAACTTTATTTTAATAGCTACATTTGTATATTTCTGAATTATTTCTATTTATAGCAAGTGATACTAATAGTACAGTAGTGAAATTGTATTTAAATTTAAAAAGTGAGAGGGATTACAGAAACAACAGTAAGTAGATATTGGTATAAACAGTATATAAATATGACAAAACTTATTAAGGTGGCATATGAATGACTGGAGTTTTGAAAACACTAAGATACAGTATGGAGCAATTATTCACATCTCAGAAGGATTTACTGAGTAGTTCATTAGGTAGTGAAATGTCTTAATTCATTTAAAATATGACTCAACTTATAAAATATAAGTATACATATGTCATGGCTCAAATTATACACTTGCTACCATTTAGGATAGCAAAGTAAAACTAGCCAGATAATATACATTGCTTTGTTTTACACTTTCATGTTCCTGCTAATTTTGATTTGTTTATGAAAACTTTTCTACTTTGGTGAAAGTCGGTAGAAAATGAGAGTGTGCTTGAATTGCCAAAGTATGCACTTTCCACCAGAAGGTATGTTTGTTTGGCTCATGGGTCTAATTAAAGTGAGAGATGAAACAAGCAGCCTCATCTGTAAGCTATCTGATGGTATGTATATCTTTAGTTACTCAGTAATCATTAATAAGTAAAGAACTGAAATCTGATCCACAATTTAAGAATTCAGTATATTTTATCTATACACAAATGTAAACATTACTATGAGTTAGAACATATAAATGCACACATATTGTGTGCAATTTCAGATAGGCACATATTGTGCTTTACATATCATATAATAACAGAAAGTAGTAAAAAAAAATCAGATGATTTATTTCTTTGGTACTTTCTTTAGGTCAGTTAAAACCAAACTTTATATTATCTAACTGAGTTAGAAACACAGAGAACAGCAGACCTGGGGGGGGGGAATGTTATTATTTTATTCCATATAAGAACTACCAAGTTTGAACAAATTACTTTCCAAACCAAGTTAGAGTATTCAGAAAGGTTAGTACAGGATGTATAAGCTCATATGATTTAGTCTTAATTATAAGGACCTTAATTTTATACTCTGTAGGTACATTATATAAAAAACTAAAAATAAATTTTATGAAAAACTATGATTTCATTATATATTCTGTCTTAGAAAGGAACTAGTTCCTTAGGGACAATTAGAACTTTTTCACTAGCTACATTTAGAACAGTCAGCTAGTGATGATATTGAGATGCTGTCCCAGAGCACAGAGAATCTAAAATCCAAAAGATATTTAGCCATCCAACAGCAGTCACGAATAGCAGTCATACTCCAGAGATCAAAATCAACTTAGAAAATGGAAGTGGAAGGCACTGTGGCGATAGATTTTCTAGAAAGTACATATGTTTTGAGGTAATCATTAAAAACACACCAACAAGCAGAAAACAAGAAAGGAACATGTATGAATAAAGAAAAGCTCACATATGGCAGTATCTTGTTTTCTTTGCCTCCCTCAGGTGTGGTGACACAAGACTGCATGCCTCCTACAATGTCACAGACCACTGGCTTCAGAGGAGGCCAAACAAAAATGGCTTTTGACATCAGCATTTAATGGGTCACTTTGGAAAATGACAGATTATTTCTTTGTAAAATTAAGTGTAGTTATAAAATGAGACACTTGAATGATAAACAAACCCTTTCTCATGCATAGTAACAGTTATTTCTATCATAACAACATAACTAAGAATAATAAAAACTGTGTAAATATCTAGAGCCATCCATACCTAAAACAGACCCTAATCATTAGTTTAACCTGCTACCCTATTCAAAAGAAAAGAAAATACAATTATTTTTTTTAAATGAGCATGGTACTTTTAATGGCAAAGTCAAATCATGAGAGTACTGTGTTTCAAAGTGTTTATTATTAATAAAAACCTGACAATTTCTCATAAAAAATAGTACTTGGACTATTTATATCATATCCTATGCACTGGTAGGTAAATTATATTGATAAACAGTAGGAAATTAAACATCCTCAAAACAATTAATCAACTCTTGATTACCCACATGTGGATTATTTGCTTTCTAGATTATCCACAGTATTTTTTTAAAAATCACAAGGTCATTTCCCTCTGTATTTTGTTGAGCTTCTGGGGAGTCTGCTTTCAACATTTAGATGTAAGTGCTCAATGAAAGCAAACTCTTTTGAGCATTACATTGTTTTTTACAACTATTCCAGACTTGGGTATAAAATATCCAAAATGTCATAAAAAGACTGATTTTCTCATGTGAA